AAAATTCTGATTATTCTTAACCACATAGACCCAGGCATATGGGCTCTCTGATGGTTGATGAATGAATGTCTGGACCCAGTTGTAGATTAAAAACTGCCACCTAGACTTAGAAAGCCAGGATCACACTACATTAGTATAACATTCAGTGTCATAGAGCAAATGGTCTATGAAACATGATGCTTTTGAATGAACTGCTAATAAGCTATCACTATAAAATGGAGAAACACAATCACTGTAGTTAATTATAGTTTTATTTCTACTATATATACAATGCATGTTTTCTTAAAAACTAAAAAATATTATTTTCCAGCTAATTAACACAAGGTAGAATTTTAGACCTGTTGCCAATAATCCTCCACTGGCAAATATTTATTCTAAACAATGTTTGGAACATATATTCTTTGTTTACCTGCAGAGGAAATTACAGCATACGAGGTACGTTTTTTAAATTGGTTATTTTCCTCCGAGAGAAGCATTAATTACATCAATTCAATCAGTTAAAAATATGTTTTTACTTGATATTAACAAAGTAACAGGAACAGGAAGTGATGCCCATCCTTCCTTTAGTATAAGTAGTAGTTAATGCTCCATTTAATGCAAAAAGTTTTACCCTCCAGGTCAGCATATGGGGAGTGTGTAATAAAAATCTTTCCCGGACCCCTATGAACGACCAGCTGAAAGTGAGACAGCCCCACCAGCAGCCTTGGACGGCTCCAAGGAAGAGGTTCTGCAGACAGCTTTCCGAACAAAGTGCAGGGATTTCCCGGAGGACCAGGCGGAGCTCTGGAGCAGCAGGAAGCCGCCTGACCTCAGAGTCCAGCAGCTGCTGCTAAGCACAAGCTTCCTTTTCCTTCCCAGCATCCCATCCACGGCTGATGATGTCAGGAAATTTTCCTCAGCAAGGATCCACGTGGATAACCGGCACTTAGCTGTGACCAGCCAATGGGCAGAATCCTCCCAGGAAGTGTTAGTCACCCTGAAGCAGAGGTGGGGAACCTTGGATCAACTTGAAAATTGGCCTGCTCTAGTTCTTCAAACAATTAATGAACTCACCCTAAAAGCCTTGGCAGGGCCAGACCAAATGATTTCACGGGCATTATATGGCCCTCGGGCCACATGTTCCCCACCCCTGCAAAGCAGCTTCCAGTCAGTGATGTGAAAGCAAGTGTGGTGTGTGTAAAGGGTGGTGCAGAAATCACTAAGGACCCTTCTTCTAGCTCTAGAAGCTTCCTGTTGGCCCTGCTTCCTCACGTCTCCATCTGAGAATAAAATTAGCCATGTAAAAAAATGCCTCTCATTTTCTTTGAAGCAACTATGCACAGTAATTGTGGGGATAATCCTATATTTTAAGTGTCTAGTCCTGACTGACTTCATCACTCTAAAACTAGTCTTTACTTGCATCTTTGGGTCTTTCAGTTCAGATGAGAAAGGCAGAGAATAATCTACTCTTAAAGTATGTGAAATCAAGTCTCATCAAAGAATTAAAAACCTGTTTAGTTACAGCTGGTGAATTCCCATAACCAAAGAAATCAGTTGTAAGGCTGAAATCATAACTCCTTCAGGTTTTTTTAATATTGTACTTGAAATAAGAGATTTTAACTAATCTTCCAGGATTCAAAAGAAAAAGTTAGTAGTTCAGTGATTTTCTAAGTTTCAGACAAGGAAATATATCAGACTACATCCTATTTCTACCTACCTTAAACAATGCCTGGCCTAAGTCTTAGGCTTATAGTACCAGGCATTTAAAAAGTTTTAAAATTAGATCCTCCCTAGCCCCTAGCCTGGTTGGCTCAGGGGATAGAGCGTCACCTTGGGACTGAAGGGTCCCGGGTTAGATTCCGGTTAAGGGCATGTACCTAGGTTGCAGGCTCCTTCCCAGCCCAGGCCCTGGTAGGAGTGCATGCAGGAGACAACCAATTGATATGTTTCTCTCACATCGATGTTTCTCTCTGTCTTTCCCTCTCTCTTCCATTCTCTCAAAAAAAAAAAAAATCAATGTAAAAATATCCTTGGGTGAGGATTTAAAAATTTATCTAAATCTTAGGGCCCTCTGGACTTGTCATGAAGTATCACAAGAACCTGCAGTGTTTTTCACTAGGACCAGAGGTGCAAAGAGAAAAGAAGTGCCAAGAGGCTCACTGAAACTAGGTTATCACATCTGTAATTCAATCCTGTCTGCAAACACAGCACTTAAAATATCATAAATGCTGCTAAATCATATTTGAGATGCCAATCCCAAGTGCAAGTATAGTGGTTTATATTTGACTAAAGGGAGCCAATGCCTTTGAATATGCTTGCTACTTCAGCAGTTTGTAACCATTTCTTTTAACCTAGGATGTCTAGCGTAATGGTTAAAGTATAATAAACTTTAACAGACTTTCACCAGGTACATATTTATTTGTTATAGAGGCTATGCTATTCTTTGGAATTAATGAAATCAGCATAAGCCAGCTTTTAGATATACTATATGGATACCCTTGATATATGTCCCCAGAAAGAAAAAGAGCACACACAACAATTTAGTTTAAATATACTGAAATAGTTTGGTACACCAGTTTAAATTAATTTTGATGAATTGAATCACATTCAAACTGCTAAAAGAGCTAAGTGTTGACTCATTTAAGTAGAAAGTTCAATGGGAAGAGATGTCTCGGACTGGGCTTATGGTACCAGGAGGAAGGCAGAGTCTGGTGACTTGTGTTGGACCCCCGGTGCCCAATCTCTCAGTAGTATCATCCCATGTCAGCTTCACCCTCAGGCTGGCTCTGGCCATGATTATGGGATAACTGTCAGAGTGGCAGAGGCCAGGTGCTTCCTCTTCCATGTCCAGCATGCATGCTCTGCCCAGCATTCCAAGCTAGGATCCTGAGCAGGTCCCTGATGGGAGCCACTAACATTCCATGCCAATCCCTAATTAATAATTGTGGCCAGAGAAATGGTTGTGTCAATGAGCCTATACCAGTCAGGGGAGAGTCGAGCTGGGGATTAAGCCATTTCCTAAGAAGGACATAGGTTAGGTAGAGGACAGATAGTAGTGGTAGGGAAAAAATAGGGGAAGGGAAGAGAGATGTCTATAGGAAACACTGGATGTTTCCTATAGAGCATCTGGCCTCAAAGACAATAGCAAGCCCCAACTTGACTGAATATTACTGTTGGGATTACTAATAAGAAAATATTTTTCAAGTCTAGCTAGTTTGGCTCAGTGGCCTGCAGACTGAAGGGTCCCAGGTTTGATTCTTGTCAAGGGCACATGCCCAGATGGTGGGCTCAATCCCTAGTAGAGGGAGTGTAGGAAGTAGCCTATCCATGATTCTCTCTCATCATTGATATTTCTCTCTCTCTCCCCCTCTCCCTTCCTTTCTGAAACCAATAAAAATATATTTAAAAAGAAAATAGTTTCCATATTACAAACTAACAATAGCAACAACAAAAATCCAAGGCCAGTATGTTTCTTTTATTATGATTTTTTCCGTGTGTTTGACTTAAGATGGTTGAAGGATTTCATTTTCATTTATAAACATTACAGTAATTCCCATGCAAAAACCCAGGACCGCCTATGCCTGATTTCAATCAAACCTGTAGTTCTGGACATTCAAAACCAAAATGTTGCTTGATCTTTCCAATAGTAGACATCATGGTCATTGTTGAGAGATCAGCAGGCCCCCTGACCTCTCAAACACCACAGTTGGCAACGAGTCCATACAAAAACAGAGCCAATGCCTGTGGCACCTAAACCTGGCAGGAAACTTTGTTCATGAAGACGGGATAGCTCTACTCCTGGGCTGGTGCCCACAGACATGTCTTGGTTCCTGCTCTATAGCAAAATCTGTTTTGGAACAGGCATGATAGCTTCTATTTGGGGATTATAAATTCCTCCTGCCAGTTTTCCTCAAAACTTTCAGTAGAAGCAAAAAGACTTTACAAAAAACGTTTACCTCTATAACCCCCAAAGAAATACATACAAAGACACCTATTCTATCAAGTATATATTTTACCCAGCTTCAGATAAAGTCACTCAGCAGGTATAAAGCTTTAAAAACTTCTCTCAGTAAGATAGGAACCAGGTATATCAAAGATGGCAAAACAGAAGCCCATAATCAATGGAGGACTGAACAAATGTAAAGAATCATTCCATTGATTGCAAGAAATGGGCTAAATTTAAAAAAAAAGTGTGATAGCATTTCAACAGAGGATGTCAATTTATATTGAAACACACACATTGGAACTCTGACAATGTCAAAGATTTCATTAGTGCAAATAACAATTATGGTACGTGCTTTAATAAGATTTAAATAAGGCTTCAAATAATTACATACACTAAAACTACCATTTGGGAACCTTAATTCTGTTTGGAAAGTTGTCAAACATACCCTCCAAACCATCCAAAATTCTGATTAGAGGATAGGTACATTCAATGAAGTTGCTCCAAAACAGAATTTGTAGCATTATCACTTTCAAAGTCGACACTGTTTGGTGGGAAGGGGAAACTACTCTGGCCACTGGTCAGAGGAATTCGATCCAGCTAGCATACTGGGTAGTTCCCAGGTTCAGGTGACTCCCAAATATCTGTAGTGAAGAAAGCTCATTAAAAAATAAAACAAAACAAAAAAATAACAGAATCCTTAGGTGTCAGAATGAGGTCTGTTTCTCTATCCCCATTAACAAATTTGCACAGAGTGTGAAACAGAAACAAGCAAGAGAGTTCATGGGCATCTCAGTCTATGGCTCAAGTTCTCCTTAAAAAAAAAAAAAAAACGAAACAAAACTGAACTATGTGACAAGAACTAGGAACAGTACACAAAACCAGAGGCAGCGTATGAAATAGTAATATACTGTTTCAGAGCCTGCACCGCCCTGCAAAACAGGAGACTTCCAATGTGTTCTTCACAGATCCAGTCTAAGGCTGGATGGGTAGAAAAACGGAAAGACAGCGGCACAGACCACAAGACAACATGATGCAAAGTTTTAGAATCGGGAGAAACAAAAGGCAGCAAAAATGCTCAGAAAAATTTATCATCAATTCTGAAATGGGGCCTCGTGACATCGTCGGGGTTAATAAAGACAGAGATGGACTTCCCCGGGTTCTCAGTCACCAGCTGCTGCAGTTTTTTGGCCAAACGGTCATCGGGCTGGTTGGGGTCCCCTCCGTCCGATTGCGGGGAGGGGATGCTGGTGGTGCTCCCCCGCCTCTGCAGCTCCAGCGTCAGCCGGTTGGCGGCCTTGACGTGCTCAATGGCCGTGCGCAGGTGCTCCGCGGGGTCGGAGCGGACGGAGGACAGCTTGCGCGCCTGGAGCATGACCGTCTCCTCCGACAGGTGCTCCAGCATGTTGCACTGCGGGATGAAGTAGTTGGGGCACATCTTGTTGACCAGACAGTGCTGCAGGTCGTCGATGAGGCCCAGGAGGAAGTGGGCCGCATAGTCCTCTTGAGCCAAGTAGTTGGCAGGAAGTCTGTCGCAGGCCCAGAGCATCATGCTCCGCAGGTGGTAGGGGCTGATCGCTTTGGGCCGGGACAGGAGTTTGATGATGATGGCTTTGCAGGCCTGGTAGGCCTGCATGAGGCTGCTGGAGATGCACTTCTTCAGCTGCACCTCGCTCCTGGCAAAGGACAGCCGCCACTCGTTGTCCTTCTTACCCTTGTAGGAGCAAGCAGGCACCAGGTAGAAGCCGCTGATGACCTCCTCCTCGGTGATCTTCCCATCCCAGAAGTGGTTCTCCATGAGCCAGCTCTGGGCCACCGCGGGCCAGCCTTTGAAGGACACCACGGGGACGATATCGTACAACATGCGGCTGCTCCCCACGCCCAGGATGATGGAGATGATGGTCCCGTTCTTTTCCACCTTCTCCACCTTCGGCATCCCCCGCTGCGGCTTCTTCTGGATCTCCGACAGGACGATGCTGATGGAGTCGTAGAACCAGTCGGCCACTTTGGTTGGGGAGAAGAAGTAGTTGGTGGCACCATTGATGTGGTCCACGATGGTGCAGCAGTCTTTCCACTTACTGATCGTGCCCTCGTCAAAGAGCCGGAGGCTCAGCCAGGAGTGGCACAGGGCCGAGTGGCGCATATCGAGGGTCACGGGCTGGTTACGGTCATGCAGCTTAAGGGCTGGCACCAGAAGGGTGAAGTCCATATCATAGTCAGTCCCCCGGGCGTAGATATTAAGCTCATCCAAGTCCAGGTCCACCACGCCTTCCCGGACTCCCCCCGAGAGCAGCAGGTACTCGTTGGCCACTGGGAGTTTTTGGTCCAGCTTCTGCACCATTCCTAGAAACAGGAAGAGAAAGTACTATATTACAGGAAGCACAGACACAAGAGGCTTAGAACGTGTCTAACAGAACGTGTGGAGCCTCCAAAACCACTGCTCATTGTTAGTAAAAACATCAAATCTTAGGCTCCTGCACAGGAGCAGCTTGAGTCCACTCTTTTCCAAGTGGGAGAATCATGATAGATTTCCCTCTCTCAGGGGCAGCAGTATCTCTTTCAACCATAAACTCCTTTTTCCTCAGTCATTACCTGGACTGATGGTATTGCCACACTCAGTCACCAGGCTGAAAACCTCAGAAGCTTCAACTCTTCCTTCCCGGTTCTCCATCTCTGCTGCCATCAGACAAAGCCAGGCTCTCCAGTCTCTTGCCAAAGCAGTCTCTTCCCCCAAGCTCTCCCTGCTTAAAACAGTTCTCTAAGCCAGCAGAGGGCACTGTGGGCTGAGGACACTGGACCTGGGACACTTTCAGAGGGCAGTGACATCACAACTCTTTTCATTGTGCTAAGACATTGTTTGTCTTTTTACTGTGTTCACACTTGAACTGATGGTATAAAGGCAATTGGAGGGCAAAGCTACTTAGTGCTAGTCAAGACAGTAACATCCAACTGCATGAGCAGTCACGGGATTCTGAGCACTAGCATTAAAAAAAAAATCAATTCAGTTGCATTTAAGAAAATTCTTAATGGAAACAAAAAGATTCGTTTTGTTAAATGTCAACTCTTGGGCTACCTTTCTTATATCCAGATACCCTGTGTGAGGAAATGGGAAGTAACTGTAAAGTACTTCCTAGTCATTCTGATACACAAAAGCTGTCTTTCAGGAAAGCACTCGTGTGCCCTGGCTGGGTAGCTCTGGTGGTTATAGTGTTATCCCAATACACCAAGGTTTCCAGTTCTATCCCAAGTTAGAGTACACATAAGAATCAACCAATGAATGCATCAATAAGTGGAACAAGTCAATGTCTGTCTGTCTCTCTCTGCTATCCTATCATCTCTCTAAAATCAATCAGTAAATTATTTTAAAAAGTAAAAGAAAAGCACTCATGTGATTCTGAGTTGTGGCCTGAATTGGCTGTTTTGCTGAGAAAATACCATTTTACTTTAAAAACAATTGATAAACTATGGCTATTCAGACAGTTATTTGATAGACATTTTCATTAAAAATGACCAAAATTTGCCTGTCTTCATAAAAATGACTGAAGTCCTTATTGACATAAAAAATGGAGCTTTCAACAAAAATATTAATTAAAAAAAAACTCATTGTATCGTAAACTTAACATCTTTCCAAATAGTATACTTTTCTGATGAGACTGGTGGTAATGTAACAGATGTGACATTTTTATGACATTCTGAGCTATTTGAGAAAGAGAACCATATATCCGATGTGTATTAAGCAGGCATAGGGGTCTGCATCCAACAGGCACACAACTGAAGCTGTGACTGAAGGACAAATGGTAGATGGGATTAACAGGGCTCAAACATGAAGTCCTGAGATAAAGGCTAGACATAAGTGACCGTTCTACCTCAAATGTCCCCTCCTTCCCCTGTATTTTATATTACATTTACTTGTACTTTATTAGGGGACAGACTCCCAGCACACTCTCCGTGATTTATTTAACAATTTCCCCCAGAAACTGCAAAGAACTACTACAAACTCATTACATTACTCACTGAAATTAATAAACATCATTTGTTATTCATACGACAACCCCAATGCAAATAAATAAAGCATTTATATGTATTTATGCTAGCACTGTATTTCAGAACTTAACACTCTTTTATAAAAAAAAGTTCTCATTTTCATTCCTTAAAATCCTATTTTTCAAACAACAGTAACCATGAAAAAGTCTTTTATTTAGTACCAATTCCTTCCCCACAGATTGAAATATATAGCAAGCTATCACTTTCTTTTTAAAGCAATCAATACGTTATCCAATGTTAAAAAGTCAACAATTTATCAAAAAGAGAATCCAGTGTACCTGACTTTTTGGGCTCTTTCTCATACACCCAGCTCTTTCTTCAACAAAGAATGGCTTAGCTCAGCTACTGGGTGTGCTGTAAGTGCAATCCCTTAATGGACTGCGTCAGCTGCAAAGAGCCACCTCAACCCCAGTCCTGTCTTGCTGTGGGGGTGGTGTGGGGTGGAGGTACCCCAACAATAATTGATCCACCTGGGAGGGCCCCAGTTCAGGGTACTCTGAAGAGTCATCTGAATCCAAAGTTCCCAAAGGCTGACACTGGGCCTGCAGGGAAATCCATCTCCTCCCTCTGCCTCCTCCCCTCTCTTCCACAGGCACAGAGCCCAGGCTGCTGCTTCCTAAATATCCTAACTCCACCTCAATCAGGGCTGCTTCCTGAGAAACCGGATTTAAGACACTACCATACTTAAAAAAAATTTTTTTTTAAGCCAGAAAAATAAAGAAGACACTAACAACATACTACCCCAATCCAAAACAATCTTCGACACAAATCGTCATGGAAGATTTATGTTCCCTGTTTTTTAAAAGCCAAACATTAACAACCAGGATTTAAAATTACATAAAACTATGGCCCGAGTGCACAAAGTCATACACTTTGAAAGGAACTGTGGGCAGAGAGGTTGTGGTAGGCCCAGGGGCAGGTCTTGGCCCATCCTCTGAGACCCTGCCTGGTCCCTCTCACTGTGGACCCAGCCCCCTGTCTGCCCGCAGTCCTGCACCCACCACTGCCACTCCCACATGCAGATGGCACCGGCCCCACTCACAACCGCTGACGGTGTGGAACAACTGGGGCCAGCACTGTCAACAGTTGCAAGCAGTAGCCACTCACACCTGTTGATGGCAGCAAGTGATCAAGACAGACACTGGGCACTGGCAACAGGTGCAAGCGGTGGCTCTGGTGTCAGGTGCAGGTGCGAGCAGGGCCAGCACTGGTAGTGGGTGTAAGCACTGGGCAGGACAGTGGTGTGCTGAAGCAAAGAATTTTTAGTAACCACCAGAGGCTCACCCCAATGACAGGACCAGAGCCCCACCTTGCTCTGGTGCCTGCCCCCAATCATCTGCTCCATCATCCCACCACAGCCAATGCCTGCCATGTTCTGCACACGCCCCCTGGTGGTCAGTGCACAGTGTCATAGCAACCGATTGTTCAGTTGTTTGGTTGTTCCACTGTTAGGTCTATTTGCATATTAGCCTTTTATTATATAGGATTATGTAAACACCAAGACAAAGACTCATTTCTTAATTGTCCCCATGTTTCAGTATCCACCTCATCCTTACAATGGCACAAATACTACCACACCAAGTTGCAGCTTAGAGATGAGAGGATAAATTAGATTGACTTCTAAGAAACCAGCATAAGTTGTGAAAACCATTTTCACTATTTTATAGGGTTACATGTAGGTACTGTTCCTTTAAAAGAGAAACATTTGATAATGAAATAATTTACTCCTCTCCATTTTAAATATTCTTTCATTTTAGTATGTGGAGTGCCATGAACATAAATGGGAAAAATCATAAAATGCTGCACTGTGGTTAGTGTTTAAAACCTAAATCAAGTAGAAGTGGTGGTGTTATTTGGGTACAGCACTGTTATCTCCTCCTAGGCATGAATAAGTCAGCATTCTGCATGTCCTTTGTATAGATGGAATCAAATTGGCTCTGAGCACATGAGCTAGACCCTGTCTTTACAACCAGAATAACTGCTGTGGCACCAGCTGGGGAATAATTTGTTTACAAATGTGCCTCTGAATTTTGCCTTTGATCGTCACTGATTTGGATTGTCACAGATGAGAAAAGCTAAACTCCTTTCTGCCCTCTGCTGGATTCAAGAAGTTATATTTTTTCTACTTATTACATACTAGAGAACTAACTCCCTCTCTCCTCCCCCCAATTGCTGCTGATGCACCTAGGTAAAATGTTGGCCCTTCTTTCAAAAAAGCCGTATCAAGTATTTGTCTAAATGCTAACACTGAGGAGTTAGGATAATTTTGGGCGCCTCTTATTCCTTTAAAGTTCAGAGAGAATGTTAGCAGCAAATAGAATATGGCTGAGGCTTACTTGCTAAGCTCCTAGAAGTTAGAAATCAAGTCCCTAAGGCCACACTGTTCTGGACGCTAATCCCTTGTGATCTGCATTTGCATTTCCCCTGCCAGGGCCCATTAGTCTGCAGTTTTATAATTTGGTAACACAAACTGGAGCCTTCCCTAGCATTACGCAAATCCAAATTCAAGTGCCCGTCTTGAAAACTTTCCTGGGCCACCTTTCAGTGAAAAGGAGCTGACATCAGCTATTACAGCAGATGGGTTGCCATGCAACTACACACAGGCAGGGCCTGGGAAGGAAAAGGAGGAGGAAAAAATGCAGTTGTACACTTTGGCCGTGATCAGTTCCAGGGAGTGCCACCTCTGAACTGATCCAAGGATTTCTGTGCATTGCAGGAGGGTAAGATCCAGTGACGCTGCCTGTTTGGCTGTTAGTAAATTAGCCGAGAAAAGGAAAAAGTACACAGACCACTGAGCTTGTTGCAGCAAAGGAAAGGAGGTATGCCTAAAGGGCCTATTCTTCTGGGTGCGTCTCCTATTTTCATAGATTTTCATGTGTCTGCTCTTATAGACCACACAGTAAAACTGCCTCAGTTCCTATAACCGATTCCTTGATTTCAGTCTATTTCATAATTTCTACCTAAGAAGACCTTCCTAGTAGTGGGGCCTCGTTGTCATCCACTTTGCTCTTTGCTGATTATCTTTAGAATATCAAATACAGAATGGAACTCTGTCCCTGACTCCTTCATATTCTACTGAATTAAACTTTAGCACATTCCATTGACTTCAAATTACTAACCTCCATCACTCAAGCACAGAATGCAGATAACTAACAACAGAGCACAAGAATTAAGTAATATTTGAAATCAGGCAGGTAGTTTGATAAATACTAAGTAGCTAAGTGAAATTAATAGTATATAGATTCATTAAAAAAATCTAAATAGCTCAATAATATTTGCTGATTTATGAGGAAGAGTTC